ATTTATGTAAATTCCTCTTCGCGTCGAAAACCATTTCTTTTGAAACTGTTTAATCCAGTTTTTCTAAAAGTCTTCACATTGGTCTTCTACAGATTAATATTGAGAATATCAAGTTTAGAGCATTCGACAAATGAGGAAGTTTTTGTGTTGGACGCATTTCTAGCCACCAAATATCAGAATGTTCTGAATCGAATTTAATATCAACACGAACCTTTGTTCTGGAGGAGGTTGATCTGCAGTGACCGCAATATGTACTGGTCTCATCTCAGATGATGTCAAAACAGACTTTGCATTCACTATTACAAAAGACCATCAAAGAAGCCATATGCATCGGTGGGTTGACTTGAAAGATAGCCGCCTATCCACCAGGTGTAGATAAGAAGGTTGTGAAGAAAAGCGGGAAGAAAGGACTAAAAAACAATTGCAAGAAGGAAGAATACATAGTTGTTAGCAAATGGAAGAACCCAACTTGCAAATTATAGATTGGAGATACCAAAATCAAACAGGGACAAAAAGTGCAACATTGAAATCCGACGGTGCATTGGGATAGCCAAAGATGCCTTCTAAAAGCTAAGCAAAGTATTAAGAAACAGAAAAAATGCTTAGAAAAAAAAAAAAATGTAGTTCTACAGAAGGATGCTAAGAATATCATGGACTGAACATGGGACCAACGATAAAGTTTTAGAGAAAATCGAAACAAAAAGGGCACTTATAATTAACATCAGAAAGAGTCAGTTAAAATTTCTAGGATACATAATGAGGAATGAGAGCTTGGTAAATTTGATACTCGCGGGGCAGACTGAAAGCAAAAAGGACAGGTGAAACCAACGCATAACCTACACAACGAGCTTGAATAAATGGATGGCGGAACAAGGTTTAGGGGCGAGAACAAAAAGACAAAACATATTAAGAGCTAAAAAGGACAGGAAATTGTAGAGAGCCAGGGTCGCCAACATATACTGCACATAGAAGAAGTCTGAAGAAAAAATATTGGGAGCAGGCTTTTTTGACGTCATCGAATACTCGTTGCCACTTTCGTAATAGTCGTTGTAGTAGAGACTTTGTAATCGCAGATACAACTATAGTAACGCCATTGAACAATACTGGTGTCAGACGCCTTCAAATATCACTCGCACTAGTAGTACTTGCTCGATAATACTCGGTGGAAAAGTAACCACCAAATAGTGATCCGAATAGTAACCATATGATGAAAATATTTATTGTACAATATGTACAAATGTGGCACAAGGCCGAAAAAGGGGAATGGGGACGGTCTTCTTCTGTCTTAACATTAAACTTAGCTAGCCACAAACACTGACCCAAACATACAAACAATATTTCTTTCACCAAAACAACTCATTCTTACCGTTCTTGCCTCATACACCATAATACCTCAGAAACTCTGTGAAGTCATAACTAGTCCCCCTATAGACAATTCATTGTCTATAGGGGGAGGGGAATAAAATAACAATTAAAAATTAAAAAAAAATGAATATTTACAAATGTGTACAAAACTAAATACAAGATACTAAACAAAATTTTGTTAGAAATAACCCCGCCACCAAAAAAAAAAATTCCTATCTGTGGCAGTAACATCAGTTCACTGTACGAAATCAATGCGGGGCTTTAAAAAATATAAACCATCTATATATCCCAACCACCCATTCAAACAAACACATTCAAACACAAAGACCGTTACGAAAGTCACACCTGAAACGAAAGACGCCCCGCACCCACCAGAGAACTGACATTTACTACCTCAAGATGGAAGGGGTGGGGAATTAAACCAAAAGAAAAAATGTGGACAAAATTAAAAGGGGCCAATGAGCACACATATCCTAGCTAAGTTTACTAAAGAGAAAAAACTAAAACAAAAAACGACCTACACTAAACTGTTAAGGGGATGGTTGCCAATGTTCAACCCAGCAACCGAAATGCCACTCTTAAGTCAGCACCTTTCATTCGGCAGAGACGCGCAAGACTCACCCACCTTTCGCCAAATTCCAATGGATGGAATCGCGTAACTATATGGTGATCACTTAGACGTGACGCTAATTCCCATATATACATTTCCTTTATCACGTGATCTACTTATTCAAAATGGGATCGCCTGTGTTTGCTCTCTGGTGATCTGTGTTCAAACTCCAGTGTAGGCAGCAACACTTTATTTCTCTATAACACAGGTTTTTGCCTGCTTCAATATTTTTTCTTCAGGCTTCTCGCATCGAAATTAAAAGAGACAGGGAAAAGCTGTGACTTAACAAGTATGAATACTTTTTTAATCAATTTACCCCAATCAAGGCTATAATGTCACTATTTCGCAAGGGGCTACTGGAAGTCAAAGAGAATGGGAAAAAGAACTGGAAACCCAATCCTAAACAGGGAACAAGGGATAAACCTCTACTCCTGTTTAAAAGACCGGGGTAGATTTTGAACCGGTTGCTAGGTGAACATATTTATTCCTAGAATTCCAAAAGACAAGGAGAATTGTAAATTGGAAGTATTGTTGAAAAAAGCAAAAGAAAGGAAGTTCTGGAGATGTAGACATCGCTCATGTTCTGAAATGACCTGTGCACAGAAAGCACGCGAAAGGGGAGAGGGTAGGATGGAGATTCGCCCACCTGCTGCTCATTATCTTTCTGATATCGTCAATGAAGCCGAATTAACCTTTGTTTTAATGCCTTGATCGGAAATTTGTTTTACAAGTCACCATTAATACATTTTTTACTTACTTGCAGTTCTTTGATTATTACATTAATTAGTAGTTAGAGTGTTTAATCTATCGCTGTTTTCATGGCAAATGTTTAGATAGGCTCCATTTCGCCTCTTCAGCTATTTACAACCAGGACACATCTTCATCTTCATTTCCTCCATATCGCAAATGTAAGAAGAAAGTTCCACTCAGATATTTCACAAAAACTGTTACTCCCACATTGGTGCTTCCCTGAAAACAACAGTTCTTGTATGATCACGAAGTTAAGCAACGTCGACCCTAGTCAGTAACTAGATAGGTGACCACTTGAAAATACCTAAGCTTGGATGTGTGTAGTGAATAATTGCTCGGAATTGTTAATCACAGACAGGGTCGTTATATTCACTTACGCGCAAATTCATACATTGGGAAAGGTATGAATTCATATCATCCCCACAGCTATGGGTTAATTAGCAAGTCTTGTATCTCTAAACCAACATTATCTATAAAAAAAAATCTTACAATCTAAAAATATTTTCTGGTTTTAAATACCCTTCAAGATGGTGATAAGCCGTAGAAATCGAATCGATAAATCAATCAACATGAACATAATCAATCTTTAACTATTCATGTCTAGGATTCAGTCGCTATCTTAGTTTTCAAGCTAGTTTGCTTCGGCAAATGAACTAGGTCCTCATCCTTCATCATTGAGGCCATGTGCCAAACGTAAACTAACTGCATATTATGAAAAGTTGAACGTCTTTTATTAAAGCTTTGGGGAGTGTGCTTGTCTCAGAAGACTAAGTTACTAAAAGCGATCCCGTTCAAAAAGACCTTCATTTCACTGTTTGATAGGAAAGATTGGATTAAACTAAATATTCGTCCAATGACACCGTAGCCCTAGAGATTGCGTCGAAGGCCAGCATGCCCTACTCTGCCAAACGCCTTCGAGATATCTAAAGCCATAGTCCGAGCCTCGCCGTTCTTATCTAGAAAGGACCAAGGTATTCTTAGTATATTTTTAAAGTTTTTTCATTTAGCTGACATGTCGGAGCACAATAAATTTTTTGGAAATTTTCACATATTTTCCTATCCCTGTATCCTTCCTCAGTGATAAATAGTTTTACACACACACACACACACACACACACACACACACACACACACACACACACACACACACATATATATATATATATAATTATTTAAAAAATATATAACATAAATATCTCATGAAATCCCTACAAAAATATCCATTTTGTTTAAACACTTTGGTGTCTTATCAAGTGATGATGTTGAATGTAGAATAAAGGTTTTAAAAGGTTCAAATCAACTAACCACACTTCGTAAGAAAAAAACGCTGTTACATGAGCTGAAATGACCAATCAAAAAACAAGTATACGAGAATTCAAGAAACTATTTTTGTAGTGATTTCATAACATATTTATGTTATAATTTTTAAATAAATAATTATATTCGCTCTACTCTGTATTGAGCACTATATATATATATATATGTATATATATATATATATATATATATTTATTTATATATGTATATATGTATATATATATGTATATATATATATGTATATATATATGTATGATATATATTTATATATGCATATATATATATATATATATGTATATATATGTATATATATATGTATATATATATATATATATATATATATATATATATATATATATATATATATATATATATATATATATATATATATATATATATATATATATATATATATATATATATATATATATATATATATATATATATATATATATATATATATATATATATATATATATATGTATATATATATATATATATATATATATATATATATATATATATATATATATGTATATATATATGTATATATATATATGTATATATATATGTATATATATATATATGTATATATATATATATATATATATATATGTATATATATATATATATATATATATATATATATATATATATATATATATATATATATATGTATATATATATATATATATATATATATATATATATATATATGTATATATATATATATATATATATATATATATATATATATATATATATATATATATATATATATATATATATGTATCTATATATATGTATATATATATATTTATATATATATATATATATATATATATATATATATATATATAATGATAATAATAAAAAAAGACACTTTTAATTATAACTTAATTTAACTTTCGATTATAAGTTATTTTGTGAACATCGAAATGTTCATTGCTTCATATTGAAATCTCCTTAGTAAATGGAGACAATATACTGGACGGATATATTAGATAGATAGTGGGGAGGGAAAGAAAAAGAGAATAGATAGGATATAGTGGGTGGGTAGGAAAAGAAAGGGTTAAGGAATTAGTGTTTGAGTAGTAGTAAGCGGGGAAGGGAACGCAAGGGGGAGGGTTTAAACTTGGAAATGAATATGCAATTATATATATATATATATATATATATATATATATATATATATATAACTGCATATTTATTTCTAAGTTTGCTTCTTTGCCAATGTAGCTAGTTAATCTCTGTTGCAGACATCTTAGGCGTTTTATCCACAAAGTGAAGCTGAGCATACCTTAGTTACAGTTTCTAGGACAGATCGTAAAATCTGGCATACTTAGAAACGAGCATTCCGCCATTGTTTACCCCAAGAATGTAGTCTTGTACCGAAGTTGGCATAAACGGACTAATATTTCCCAATGGTGTCTGAATTGGCTGGAGGAGAATAGAGCTTATCATTGCAATGTAAACAAAATAAATAAATAAATAAAAGTAAAAACGTATCATGCCCTCCGATTCCAAATGTAGCGTAAGATGAAGTAAACCGTGAAGCATTTTTTTTCTCCAAGAACAGATTCTGATTCTTGGAAAGGAAATACTGCAGATTAGACGATTCATCCCCTTAACCACCCTACAATTCCCAGCATGCACTTTCATTAACATATCCATATTGCTTTTGCTAATGAACGTGTCCTTGACAAGCAAATGAAAATCTTATCACCTGAAAGCAGGTGAGTTTATTTAATCTCAAATGATAAGAGGAAAAAAGAAAAGAAATTATGAAACGGTATATATCAAGTTACTTTCGTTAGGTTTACGATGTAAATACGATAAAGAATACAATTTTCCATATATCAAAAAAGCAACATCCGCTTATGACAAAATTGAATCGATAATTGTTTTGCTAACTTCTGAGATTCAGTATTTTTATTACCCTCTATGTTTTCAGATAGCTGTCTCCAATTTTACTGGATTCTAATAACAGTTCGGCAGACACATTATTCGGTCTTCTCAGTTTGAAGTTCTGAGATGAAATGCTTTCATTATTTCATATATTACTAGTGTCTTTATTTTCGTTGTCTTTAATGCAAAACTTCGACGGATACATTCGTCGGTCTGCCTGAAGATACGGGATTAAATATTTTCATCATTGCATATATTACCCAGAATATTGCCTTTACCTTAGTTGTCCTTAGTGCAACGTTTCGATTGATATATTCTCCGTCTTTCCTGTATTTTCTGAGGCAATTAGATGAAATATTTTCATTATTCATTATATTACTTAAACTTGCCTTTATGTTTGTTGTTTTAAGCACTGCATCTCGACCGAAAAATTCTTCAGCCTTACCGGTATTTTCTGAATTAATGAGATGGAGCATTTTTATTTTTCCTTATATTGTGACACTATTTAGCGTTTGGCTAACTAATTAAGCGTGAAAATTAAAAGCGTGAAATACTTAAGGCGAGAAGAAGCTATCACGAAAGACATACTGAGCGATGTTATTTTTTTAACAAAAGAAATGTGGTAACGATTTTATTTTCATTTGCGAAAAAAGTATTTTTTTCGCAGAAGATAGGAAATTCGTAAAATCTCGGATCTGTCAGAATTAATTTATGCTATGACGCGGCGAATAAAAGATAGCAATCTGCTCATGGCAATAATGAAAATTTCAAATTGGTCAAGTGGCTTACAAAAGCGAAATGCTAGAAGATAATCAGAATTAGGTCGAGCATCGATCGAGAAAGGGATCAGCTGAGACCACCCCAAAGAAAAAGGGAGGAAAAAGATGAAAAAGGAAAAGAATAAACCATTAACTATCTTTCGGAGATATCATTTGGTTTTGGAAAGAGACCACCTGTTTTATGTCCAGACCTTGCCATGATAAAAGTTTGTTACCTGGACAGATTGTTGGCGACAGAAGTACGTAGGCGTTGAGGATACAAGGAGATTCTGATAATCGCTTGACGAAAATCTCGTTGATGAATTCCAGATGACATCCAGTTAAGATAGAGATTAATGACCACACTACGAGTCGTGGGGGGTCTGTCGGGGAAAAGAAAGAAAAGAAAAAGGAAGATAATTTTTTTCTTTGAGCGATAATTGTAAACTGAGGCCAGACTAGCCACACCCACGCTGCCGAGCGTTCATTGGCTGAATGGTGGCGTGAGCGATGGGCGAAGGTAAACATATGAGAAAGAAGGGAAACCTGTTGACACCTCTGAGGGGATTGGTGTGAGATCCCAATATGAGAAAGGAAGAATTTGGGAGGACAATTCCCTTAAGAACCCCTCTGAAACAGAAAGTAATGGACTTCCAAAAATGGAAAGTGATAAATTTTCCTATCCGAAAACAAAGAAAATCCTTATTGCGGATTTGGAATTATCGAGGAACCCAAACCACGTCCATATAAACAGAGTTACAGGGAAGAGACGGTGGCAGTTGGGCAGACGCAGACAGAGTGACTGAGCAGACAGAGTTGAGCTGTGAGCTCAGAGACCAGCCTAGCAGCTGACTGAAAGATATCCACGCATTCCGACTTAGACTTCTAACCAAAAACATTTTTTTTTTTTTTGAAGAACGACTTAGACTCACACCACCAAAAGTTTTACGAATATCGCCTGAAGACACCAAAAACCAGTTTCTTGAAAAACAACTTAAGATATTAAGACTCACCTAACAAACGCAAAGTGTCACGTATCCATAGAAGCGGTTTGGGGGAAAGAGGCAGTCCTGTATTCAGAAACCAGATATAAAGATATTTGTTATTCTTTTTTTTAACACATTTGAATCTTTCGAGTTGTTACTTTATTTTCTTTTACATATACTTCTGCAGTGTCACCTTTGCTCGAATTCGGCTTGCACTACGGCCCGACGACTGATTGATTTCGTCTACCTAGGATCAAATCACAACGTGGGTAGGTTAGACTAGAAATCAAAGCAGTTACTTCGGTAACCAGACGTTGGAGGCGAGCTGGGAACGACAAAGCTGATACCGAATCTAACCAGATTTCCATCCGAATCAGCCAAGGGTTAGAACGTCACATTTGGCGCCGCGACCAATACCAAGTCACATTGGTCGTCACTGGATAGCACGGGGGCAGAGGCTCAGGGTGACGTCACAATATTATGTGGGCTGTTTTCTTTATTTTTTGTTTTTTCAGCGCATTTCCACCAATATATTCTCCGTTTTTTGGTGTTTTTTTAAATTTTATTTCTGATACTTAGTGCTTCTTCTTTCTAAAAATAATTATATAGTTTATCCTGACTATTTTCTTCAGTTTTTAAATCCAGACATTTTTCAGCATAGAAAAATTAGTTTATATGAATGTGGAAGGGGATTAAAATATGATCGTGTAGAGATATCAAAATTTGATCGTTCACCGCAATCAAAATGACGAATGAGGAGACGAACATTTGATCATGTCGTGATATCAGTATTTGATTGTAGTAGAGTAGATTAAAATTTGATTTCGTAGAGAGATCAAAATTTGATAACGTAAAAAAATCAAAATTTGATCGTGTAGAGAGATCAAAATTTGATCGTGTAGCGATATCAAAATTTGATTGCGTAGAGAGATCAAAATTTGATCGTTCACCGCAATCAAAATGACGAATGAGACGAACATTTGATCATGTGATATCAGTATTTGATTGTAGTAGGGTAGATTAAAATTTGATCGTGTAGAAAGATCAAAATTTGATTGCGTAAAGAGATCAACATTTAATCGTACAGAGAGATCTAAATTTGATTTTGTTTTGAGATCAAAATTCAATTGCTCTCGGAAAATAAAAAAAAACAATGAAATTAATTAAAAGCACGGAAAAAATATTTCAACTGCTACTTATGACATTGCTTTTATGTGAGGTTAAGTGCCGCACTTCTAACAACGGCACCAATTTTGATGTATCTGTTCCATTCGACATGACAGAATGGCAAATTAATATTAACGCAATAAATATATGTTCGTAAATGTGATTTATATCAGTGTAGTAATTAAAATTCTGCTACATTTTCCTAATTACCTCCACTCTATGATCTCTAAAATATTTTGACGCTAATGACAATTTTTTACTAATTACGGATCTATTTACGATTCTCTTGAGATATCGGGGACAAACTTCATGTATACTAAAATAAGGTTTCAAACAGTTCATATATATATATATATATATATATATATATATATATATATATATATATATATATATATATATATATATTATTTATTTTCGTTACATAAGAGTTCTCATGTTTCAAAAACAGGAGCTAAAAACTTCAATTTAATTATAAAAATTAAATTGAATTAAAGTATCAAGCTCTGTTTCATCTTCAAGCGAAATTTTTTAAATACCATATTTTGAAATTTATGCAGCTTTATAAGCATATTTATTCGTAAAATTAATTACTATGGAAATGGCTGAAGCAATTATTTCAATAAGGGGCGAAAGAGTTAACATATTGTATGAACATATTAGCTACTTTTGGAAAAAGGTCAAGTCAAGGTAGGGTCGGGGTGTCTATTTTAAAGCGAATGATGACATTCATTAGACGCATATCGTCTAATCTGTTTCAGCGAAAGAGAGTTATTGTCATTATTGTTACGCCGTCTAATGATTTTTTTTTCTAAAAGAGTTGTTTGTATATAAATGCGTCGTATTGGACTATATATATATATATATATATATATATATATATATATATATATATATAGGGTGCGATGGGTAAATTGTCACCCAACACTTTAATTTCACGCATGCACTTTATTTTTGATTTTGTAGTCTGCAGAGTATAGATGGGTCAGTTGGGTACCGTCTGTGATAAAAAGAGAACAATGACGCAATTCACTCCGTCAGAAATTTGGAAACAGCATGCAGTACAGCTTGCCATTCGCGCCAGAATCTCAAATTCGACATTTCAGAGTGTTTGGGTGTCAATATCTGTTCAGTTCAGAGGATTCAAAAAGATTAAGATGAGTCTAATGGTGATTACGAAGGTGTTTGGAGTGATCTCTAGTGATAGCAACGCTATACCTCTATTCCTCTTCCCACAGAGACTCAGAATCTACACGGAGGCCTATATCAAGTGCCTTGAGGAGGTAGTTGCCCTGGTTCAAGAAGGTGTCTGCTGAAAGACTCTGTTTCTGAGAATAGGACTCTGCACCATGCCACACATTCAGGAGAACCCAGTCAGGGCTGTCACGCAATTTCGGCGACCACATTACCCACTACATCTGGCCATCTAACTCCCCAGACTGCAAACACTTGGCTATTATGTGTCGGGAGCAGTTGAGCGAGAGACCAACAAAAATCTTTGTAACACGTTGAACTGAGGGCAAGGATTATTCATCAAGTTAAACAAGGAGACCGTCCTGTAGAGTTGCAGGAGATTCTGAAGTCGTCTGGAGTCCGTCGTTGAAGCCAATGGCGATTTTATTGAATGAATTTACTCTTTTGTATTTCAAGATATTATTGTGCAATTTTGGTAAATATATCTGTTAAAATGAAATATCAGTGTTATTTTCAATATTACGTAACTTAGACGACAATTTATCCATTGCAAATATTCCACTTTCATGTAGTTCATAGTTCTCCACATTTTCTTGTTCTTTGTTCTTAGTAAAGTTTATATTTTGCTATCTCTCCTAATCCCTGTTTTGCCAACCATTGATAAAAGCTCGTTAGGTAGGTTATGCGCTGTTTTTTGTCTTTTTGCCTTCAGTGAGTCCTATGAGTGTCAACTTTTCCGAGCCTTCTTTCTTCATTATGTGACCTAAACATTCCAACTGTCTCTTTCTGATTCACAAATAATTGTCTCTCTTATTTCTGTTTCTTAAAACTTCGTTGTTGTTCATATGTTCAGCCCATGGTATTCTCCGCAACTTTCTGTAAAAACACATTTCTGTTGCCTCAAGCATCTTTTTCATCTGTCGAGAGATTGTATAGCCTTCAATCTCATATCGGAGGACGGATACAAAATATTAAATTAACAGAATGGTATTAAAGAGAACGGTAAAAGGAAAGCCACAGCAGGTCTGTGAGAAAATGATTGTAGATGAGATGCCAGGTCAGAATCTATCACACTGCATATCCGTCTTTGGATTTTGTCGAAGACCTCGAGATGAACAGCGGGGGCACCAAACCATATATGGCAACAGTATTCAATGTAAGGACGAATGGTAGATTTGTAGTTTTGACGGATGGACTCAGACGAGAAAAATTTACCTTTCAAAAGCTAAACAACATATAATGAAACAATAAGTTTTCGTTAGAGATAAAGAATATAATTCTGAACTCCTCGTAAAATCAATCATCCTATATGACAAAGAATGCAGTGCATGTTCCTCATTGATGATATGTGGTTCAACAGAAGAATGCTGAGGATACAATGGACGGAACATGTGAGCAACAAGAAAGTTTTAAGCAAAATTGGAAGAAAATAGATTCTTGTGCTTAGAATAAGAAAGAACCTTAGGATGAAAGAACCTTTTCTACCTGCTGTCAGCACAGCGGATACTAAACTCCAGGAGAGCAACACTTTACCCCTTCCTGGCTTGACGTTTGACATGAAACTGGGCGACTATATCGTGTCAATTACTATGTCTCTACTATGATATATACGCATTAACCATTATTAAAAGACGCAATGATTGCGTGCTCGAATTGCTTAGATATCATGCCTTTTGGTAAGTAAATAATAGATGCAATCCAAAAATTTGTTACAAAAATCATTTACTATTAGCATAGAATGGGTCATCTTGGGTTGACAACGTTCATATCTTTGCTTAAGCAAAGGTGACTTTTATATGCCGACGTCTAGCCGTGTAGAAATTGAGCTCAGTGTGCATCATTACTTCTGACTATTAAACACTTGGTTGTTTCTACATCTGCCAAACACATGGCGCGCTTCCAGGCCCGCTCTGCCGACCATGATTCCTGTCGACACAGACGCGCATGAAACCCATTTGCTGCCAATAATAGACAGAGAGCATCTACACATCTTCTTGGTTGTCTATAAACGTTAGATGCGACAGACTCGTCTTATTCTCCCCTTATACGAACATAAGTACACACGGATCGTCGTAGATTCTGCGTGTTCAAGCGAAGTTAAAAATAAAATGATCTTTCAAAAGAAGGTACTCAAAACCAAGCCAGTCAACTGACAAAAATAAATGTATGTAGCCGAACAGGTTTTCGTCACTATATATATATATATATATATATATATGTGTGTGTGTGTATGTGTGTGTGTGTGTGTGCGCGTGTGTGTGTGTGGTGCATACCTGGGCACAAGTTCAAGTTGCTTTTATGTATCGCCCATTTCCAAGACGAAATGAAGTGCATGCTCGCATGAATACACACGCACACACACACGCGCACGCACGCGCATTCAAGAATTCGCTCTTACATATAAATAGTTACACTAATACATATGTTCATGTACATATATTTACACACATTTAATTACGCGTACGCTCACACACATGCATAGACACACACACTCACATATATATATATATATATATATATATAAAACAACTTACATTCATGCATTCACCCGTAGATACATTTACATAGAGAAGGACGCATTTTTACATGCACGCATTTGTTAATTGCCACTTGAAATCCCGTAAAAAACACTGGGCACAATTTGCGTGAAAATTCTATGAGTGCATAGAGAAAGTGAGTACATTGGAAATGAGTACAGAGAAAATGGGTACGTAGAAAACGATTACATAGCAAGGAAGTACACAGTAAACAAGTTCATTGAAAATGAATACATACAAAATGAACAGACAGAAAACAAACACAGAGTACACTGAAAACGAATACATAGCAAATGAACACACAGAAAACACAGAAATTAAATGCATAGAAAACGTAGAAAAAGAGTACACCAAAAGCAAATTGATAGCAAACGAGTACACAGCAAACAAGTTAATTGAAAATGAATACATGCAAAATGAACACACAGAAAACAAACACTGAAAATGAATGCATAGAAAATGAATACATAAAAAAAGTGTACACCAAAAACAAATTGATAGCAAACAAGTACACAGTATACAAGTACATTGAAAATGAATACATTCAACATAAGTACACAGGAAACATGCACATAACTGGCTTACGGCTATATAGATTTCAAACACCTGTTCTCGTGCAATCACTAGAATTAAGCAAGGTCGAGCGTGGTCAGTACCTAGAAGAAATACCAGGTTCTGTAAGCTTGGATGAGCGGGTAGTGTAATGGATAATGGATCGGGGAGCCAAGTTCCAATTTCAGTTGGATTCGTTATATTCGCTTACGCGCAAATACTCTTGGAGAAAATATGAATCTACAGCTTCTGCCCAAAGACTTGTATCAGTAGATCATTATTATCTAAAATAAATAAATAAATAACCTGCAAAGGGTTGATAAACCGTAGAAAACGTATGAGGCTATCAATCATATTTTGCGGAACAGTGTCCTACATAGATGCTTTCTTGAAAACTACTATCTTAAGCTCTTTAAGTCAAGGGTCAATCGTTATCTATCTTTCATATCCTCAAAATGTTCACTTCCTGCCACCTCCACTTTCATTCATATCACACACCGTATTCATAACAATAACCCTCTACATCTGAGTTGCTGTATATGCTTTGGGAGTGTTATACTGCTATATGTTAATATGTTATTAAATAATCTCCCAACAGCTTATATCTAGAGCCCACTGAATGACTAGTATCATTTTCTCTGACGATCGTATTGAGGTGCGAAACAGACAGTTATTATACAGTGTTGATTGAACAGCTCATTCATTATAACTATTTTAAAAGTAACCTTCTACCTTGAGTAGCTGTTGAGCCTTATTTACATTATTCGGACTATTGTCCACATCTTTGTCGCCATATTTAATACAACTTTTTCGGCCTTCTTCAGGTGGTTGGAATTTCGAACTTAACCCTTTATTTCGCTCACAGGGGTAGACTGTTCTAGTTCCATGTGCCATGTTTAATGGATGTCAGCCTGTTAATTTTCCTCTGAAAGTTCTCCACTGCCTTAACGGGTATTGAACTCACACTCTTTGGGTCCTGTCACTGGATCTAGCCAACGCCTTTATCCACTGTGTATGAATTTCTGGGTATTATAAACCTAATGTCTTCAGCGACCATTTTTACTAGTTAATTTGCAATTTTTTGCTGTTAGCAGAGCTCATATTGCAACTTTTGTTGTTATTATCGCTTTTCTCTGGCACTCCTTATTACTGGTTCCTATATTGTATTCATTTCTATGCTTGGTCGGCTCAGGAATTTTTGTAGCCTAGCATATGTCCCATTTCCTTAAGTTTTACGGCCGAAACGTTGTAATAAATATGGCGACAAAGATGAGGACAATAGTCCGAATAATGTAAATAATGTACATAATACCTCTTCTCAGAAATATAGACAGATACTGTTGAGCATTGTATTGAATGACCTTTAGTATAAAAAGCAGAGAGAAAAAGAAGGCGGCTTGGCGCATATAAAATAACATTTCGAAAGAAAGATCGACAGGAAGGCATAAAAGGAAATGACGGATAAATGTAGATGGATGGAAGAAGAAAGAAGATAATAAGTAGAGAAAGAAAATAGCAAGAATTTGGTGTTTTTTTTTTTGGTTGATAATTATAGCACCTTTATTTTAAGAGTAATAGATTGATTGTCAAAAGTAGAGTCAATCGGTTCCCGCTTTGAAACCAACGTATTTGTGCGCTAATACAAAAAAAATGTCTTTATTGGACTTAATTAATATGCGCATACGAGTGCTTTAGATTTGATGTCAGGGAAGATAAAAGATCTGACCACTTAGGCTTTGGTTCTATGTTTTAATCATTAAGCTACAAAAATCTACTTTGTAAATTCTCTTTTATCAGCCAATTTAATAACATCAGCGGTGTCAACAACAATTAACAGGTGCGTCAGTTTTCTTTGCTTTATTTGAAGAACTACTCAAACAAGCATCCAAGTCTTTGTTGATTAGCAGGAATTGACCGCCAGATTCCACGATCTTTTGCTGATATTCTTTATTTTTTTCTGTACTTGAAGACTGATAAAACGACATGGATTTGTATGGTTCTGTTCATATTTAATGAACATAATTCCACATATGGGAAGATTGTATTGCGCCGATAATTCATGTTGGAAGGTCTATGCACCTTAAAAATCAGCCTTCAAATTTGTCTTTTAATTTCGTCTACCATCCAGTTCACGCTTCCCCTTGGTCTCTTGTTTCCTGTTTTGGTTGGGTTTCCGTTTCATGCTAAATTCTGATTATATATATATATATATATATATATATATATATATATATATATATGAATAAATATACTCTTAAGGTGTGCTATATTTATGGGATAAAGTGCTCAATATCAGAGAGATAGAGCGTGTGTAAATATAAAAGTGAACATTGAAGTCAACAGGCCTGACGATTGCGTCTAGCATGAAACAATCTGTCGCCTCTAAGTGTTGACGGATTTTCTGATTATTCCTCCCCCCCCACACACACACTCAGCGAGAGCTCTGACGGAATCTTATATGAGTGTTAATCCCTTAAGAACAATTTACTGGCTTAAAGAAATTTTAGTCACTCAAAGAAATATTTTGGGCAATCTTTTATATAATATTTTTCTTCCTAGATGTTGAAAGAATTTTCTTCTCTCTTTCTTTCATATTTTGAGTATATCCCTTTACCTTTTTTTTTGTGCATGGAAATAAACAATTTCTTCTTCTATTGTTACCTACCGAGCAGGAGTTTGAGTTTTTATTCTTCCGCCTACAAAAGAAGAATTATCCGCTCTAAACTTAGAAGCTGTTGTTACTTTTATCAATCCTGTCACCTTTAACCATAACCCATTCCTATGGGAAAGCCGGGACAAATTTCCTACATATACACCGGAAACGAATTGCCCTATCAATGCCACGACCGACTAGTATATCGACGACGGATGTTCCTAGAACACTTCGGTTAGATATTATATCTGGTCTTTAAAATTGGCTTAGTATTTCCTAATTTAGATTTTCCTTTCATTTAATACATCAACGACATATCAGTATTAATTTATTGGCTAGTTTTTCAGTTTTTTTACTTTCGTTGGATTGTATTGTAACGTTAGTCATTTTTATATTCTAAAATCGTGAAGAAAGAAGCATGAACTGAAAATAAAGAATAGGCTCTTGACGAGGTTTGATCTCAGATTCCTTTTACATAGATACATGTCTGGCATTAAGAGCGTATTTTCAATTAGGCCACAAAAACTAATCAAAAAACGTCATCCAGATTTAATTAAATATCTATATTTGTCATTTCTGATTCTTTCATTGACTTGTTTGTTTAACGGCGTGAATCATTTAATGTCGACACTTTCACAATTGAATACATGGTAGACGATACTCGGCTTTTGTGCCTATACCTGTTTGTGTAGACATAATTATTTGAGGTTTTGTTGAAGTTATATTTTGGAATAGAGTTTGATTTAAGAAATTGTAGGATATTATATGAACTATGGAGTGACAGGGTGTAATCGATTTCTAATTCTATTTTTTTCCCTCAGATTAGGTCATTTGCAGTGGTGAGCATTAATATGAATTTATTTTCGGGGTGTATGATGACATTTGTTTGGTCTTGAGAAATATTGCTTCTCCTGTGATTGCATCAGATTTTCATCACGCCTAGACACTATTGTCTCGACTGTCTATTAGATCTCTTACAGCCATAGTCTGCGATGGACTTTAATCCAAGGAAGCGTACGAAAATTTTAACGCTGCACGAACACACTGGCAAGCCTTACCAGTAAGCAAATCAAATGTACTATAGATTGGCCCGGAAAATTTGATTTTAGTTGGTTGATCGGGTTCTTGTTGAGTATTTTAAACTGTATGTGATCGTGGAGTAGATGGTCAAGTTTTTTGTTGTAATCCAATTTGTTTAGGATGACGAAAATGTTGGTCTTATCAGCTTTTTTACAATTATGTCAGGGTGGTTGCGTAGTTATTGTGCTGCAGATCTCCTGTCATACGTGAACTTAAGGACAGAATTATTTTGGAAATGTTTTTGAAGTTGAAGTATTTCATCTGTATTTTTAACTAACATAAAGATATCATCAACATATCTTAGGTAGATGGTTGGTTTTTAAAAATCTGTAAATACCTTATGCTTGAGGTTCGACATGTAGAAATTGCTAAATGTCGGGCCCAGTACTGAACCCATGCAGACACCATCACGTTGTATATATATATTATTATTATGATCTAAGAAAGGGACTTCAGTAATACAAGCTAATAGTAGTTTCCGTAAAAAACTTCCAAAAATTTATATATATATATAGATATATATATGTATGTGTGTGTGTGTGTGTGTGTGTGTGTGTGTGTGTGTGTGTGACAAAGTGGAAGAAAGTTTTTTTTTGTGAGTCGTTTCGTTCTTTAAGATCTGATCGAACTAAATTTGTTATGTTGGTACGACTACACATATGCACGAACGAGAGATACTGGCAATTTTAAATTTTTCTTTTTAATAAGGACAACCAACGAACTCTATCACATCTACAATTGGAAAGAATCTATCTAAAATCAACATAAAATATGTTATTACTACAACTAAAACAATAAAAGTCTTAGTCAATACTAAACAAAACAATAATCTAAAACTTGAAGGAGGAATTTACTCGATTACCTGTAGTAATTGTCATAAAAATACATAGGAGAAACCTCAAGGAATCTAAATAAAAGATTATATAAATACAAAAGATACATTTTACAAAACCATACATCAAATGCTTTGGTTGCTCAACGTAACGAGACTGACCGCAATTTAGACATATAAAATGCTACTCAGTACGACGAAAATGTCTAGAGAGTGCATTGATCGCAAGGCCATCCACATTGAATTTGCGATCGTTTTCACTGGCTGGCAGAATTTCTATTATCACAGTGTAGGATATCTAATAAAAATGTGATAGAAAGAAAAGGAATATAAATGAAAGCGGCTAGATTAAAAAAAGAATTAAATTTAAAATTCCCAGCATCCCTCGTTCCTGCGCATGTGTAGTTGCACCGACAAATTTAATCCGATGGAGTCCTAAAGAACGAAACGCGTCAGAAAAAAACTTTTTCCACTTTGTCATATACTTTTCCCCTAATATTGTTCTTGATATATAAAAAGATATATCGTTATCTCATATATATATATATATATATATATATATATATATATATATATATATGAAGAAATATAGTTTTTAAGGTGTGCTATATTTATGGGATAAAGTGCTCAATATCAGAGATATAGCGTATGTAAACATAAAAGTGAACATTGAAGTCAACACTCAGAGGTGACAGACTGTTTCATGCTAAACGCAATCGTCAGGCCTACTACTCAGTTCGGCGCCTATTTGGTCAACTTTCTCCGTCTTGAAATGGATGAGGCGACTGGGTACGAAGGTCCCATCACAAAGTCGGAAAACTCGGAAACGCTGAAGGTTGCTGACCAGGAAAAAATTCCGGGGATGGATGGTCTTACTTACGAACTATACTTGAGACAATCGCCCGTTCTTGTTCCTTTGCTGGAACTGATTTACAACAACTGGATGAAGCAGGGATTTATACCACAACGCTTCAGCAGGTTTGTGATCAAGTTGCTACGCAAAGACAAAAACGGTGGGGATGAGATAGGTAACTTTCGGCTTTTGACGATGTTAAATACGGAGTTGAAGATTGTAGCCAAGATCTTAGCCAGCCGTTCTGCAGGCTGTTCTCTTTTGTCTGATTGGCTCCGAACAAACTTGTGCTGTGAAGGGCACGACTATTCAGGACAACCTTAATTTGGTACGCTTGATCATCGGGAAAGTCGACAGTGAAACGGCGCTGATCAATTTAGATCAGTCAAAGGTATTCGATAAGGATGATCATCGATTTCAAGAGACTTTTCTTTTCGACGCTGGTTACGGGCCGTACTTTCGCACCTGTATCTGTGGGAAGTAAAAAGGTTTCGATCAGAGCCTTTCGCATTGTCTCGTTCTATTCATCAAAATTGACCGCTTTCACCTTTGCAATACGTTCTTGCGTTGGAGCCTTTTCTTTGCAAATTAAAGACGAATCCGGGCCTAGGCGGAATTTGCCTACCTGGTACTACCAACTCAGCCAGCTACTCCACCTATGCTGGCAACGTTCCAGTGTCGAGCAGAGCCGAGATTGACGAATTCGGCAAAGAGATCAGAGGGTAAGAAAAGATCAATCATGATAAGTCTGTTGGCTTGCGGTTGGGTGCCTGGATGGGAGTTTCTCTTCCCGGATTTTTCCTCCGGACGGACTGGCTGGTTCGGTCACGATCTCCTCTTGGAAATGATTTGGTTGGTGGTACGAGAGAAAACCGAGGTCGCAGTTCGTCTGTGTTCCCGGGGCAATCTTTCCTTAAAGGAGAAGGCGAAAGTATGTACCTAGCACATCTACCCGATTCTCCTATACCGAGTGCCTGTACTTCCTCTTCCGAGTGCCATACTAATGAAATTAGTAAGGCTCTTGTTCTTCTACTTGTGGGGAGGTATGGTATTTTGAGAAATCTGTTACCTTCTCTCTTCTGAAAGCGTCTGGGTTGAGATTGTTTTTTGTCTTTAGTTTTTCTTTCAAAGTTTACTTAACTATGGGATGTAAGTTCAATAGCCTCTTTTATTTATGCTCCCAGTTTCTTTAGTTCAGTTCACCCTCCTCTCCCCCGTTGGGTGAGCAGAGATGTCAGTTCTCTAGTGGATGCGGGGCGCCTTTCGCATTTCGTGTGAGATTTTCGTATTTGTTGTTTGAGAGTGTGATAGGACTAATGAGTGTTTTCATTATTGAAGTCCCGTATTAATTTCTGCTAATTAACTGATATTTTACCATAATTAAGAATTGTAGGTTTTTATTACTAAAGTTATTTTATTTAGCGTCTTATTAAATAGTTTATAACCTCTTGTAAATTCACGCTGTGGTTTAGGATTCTTAATTCGTTGTTTTATTCCCCTCTTCCTACAGAAGAAAAAATTGTACATAAGGTTTACTAGTTAAGACTTCATAGATAGTCTGTAGTATTATAGTATATTATATATATATATAGAATATATATAGTATATTATAGTATAGATAGTCTGTAGTATTATAGTGGGTATATAAGAACGGTATCTAAGAATGGTGTAAGAAATATTGTGGCATGATTGGGTTAGTGTTTGTGGCAAGCTAAGTTTAAATAATTTAAGAAAACCAGCCTTTCCCCATCCCAAATTTTGACCTTGTGTCATATTTTTGTATTTTCATACGAAATAAATATTAAGAACAACTCGTCTATCGGACAGCATTTGTAAGACAACCCGATAAATATAATATATATATATATATATATATATATATATATATATATATATATATATATATATATATATATGTGTGTGTGTGTGTGTGTGTATATATATACTTAGTGTATTGAGCACTTTGCTTAATTATTTTGGCTTTACTCGTGTTGAAGGTTTTTTTTTTTTTGACTCTGAGCTTGGATTCTGGACGATTGTTTTCGCCTGAATTACATGTTCTTAGTTCTTTCTTTTTTTATTCCTTATTTTCCTTGGGTATTGGTTTGTTCAGTTACAAGTTGGTTTTTCCAGATGAGTATAATTACTTATATTTATAAGATTATTATTATTATTATATATATATATATATATATATATATATATATATATATATATATATATATATATATATATTTTTAAGACATTGTCGGACTTTGTCCATTTTATAATATATATATATATATATATATATATATATATATATATATATATATATATATATATATATATATATATGATATACATTCTTTTCTGTGCTGGATAGAGCTCGCTCTGCCAACCACCTGCGAGTTATTAAATTATATAAGCCGAGCCTACGTAGAGAGAAGGAACAATTTATCCGTCCCTTGTGTTTTTTGGGAGGAATATCAATAAGCTTTTTTCTTAATATTCTCTTTAGGAACCCTTTAATATCAGTTTTAATCGTTAATATATTTACAATTAAAATTTCTTCTCCTCATTCGTTATTCTTTTGTTAAATTGTCTCGAGTTTACCTAATTGCGCCAACGTCCACATTTGGAAAAGTTTTGGCTGAAAAGGAATCCTTAAGGAAAATAGGTATATAAAATGACGTGATATTTTTTAACATCTGTGTTCTTCCTCTGTTGGGTCACACACACACACACACATATATATATATATAGTAAAAGTAATAATTCCGTTGGTATATAATCCAAGTGGATCCTAGTATTATAAAATATTAAAACTGATCCACATAAAGAGCTGAATGTATTTATTATAACAGAACCAATAAACTCAGTCAATAAACCGGGGTTTTATAAGACTGACGAAGTTTACGTCGGTTGAAATAGATCTATCCCCATATGTGGTAATTTTGGATTTTGTCGTGTAATACTATATATTTATATATGTTTATATGTATGTGTCTGTTAAAAACCAAGGAAATTCGTTAAACATATTTAAACCATTGTAAAAGTTTAAGTTTTAATTTAAATTTTCCGATGTCTGTATAATTTCGTTTTTTATAAGCCACCCTCAAAGAGCTTTTATACATTTCAGGACTCAAATGCCAGCGAAGCTCTGTAAGATATGAGGAATAATGGGTCTTACTCCGCTACGCAAACTTATGTGGTGTTGATAGGGGGTTTGAATTCTTAGTTCATTTTCTCTTCGACGGTTACCTTTAGATTATAGTCTGGTCTTCTATTTTTGCCCAAAGTTGGAAGGCAAAGAAAAGATGATATAGAATTATGTCATTTTCAAATGCGAAGTACGTAACAGTCTCGGGCGTAATTTGAACTCAGAAAGGCGATTTCGTTTTCCGTGCCTGTAACAGTTACATCACCTGTATATACAAATATTTGGACGTATGAGTAGCGTAACTGTGTATCCTCTCTTCCCCATATATATATATATATATATATATATATATATATATATATATATATATATATATATATATATATATATATAAAAAAAAACAGCGACAAAACTGCCAGAAGGTGAGAGCGATAGATCATAAACATTCTTGGCAATAAGCAAAAGGAAATGATCACAAGACAACATTTTTCTTAACATGAAAGAAAAACTTAATTTACGTTTCCCGATTAAAGAATCAAAGGACGTTTTTGTCATGTTTGATTACTAGAATGTCTAATATCAGTCTCCATGGAATTCTGTCCAAAAAAACAAATCAAATTCACAGGCATTTCATGAGGTTGTGAATTCGCAAAACCAATCCTCACTACAAAGACCTGACTTTTCTTTTACTAAGTTTAGCCAAAAGGGCGGAGAAAGACTGTGTTACGTCAGTGCTCCAAGCAGGAAGGGCAGATATGTCTTCTTAAAATATCAGCATTCGAAATCATGGCATTTATCATGGAACGAAGAATATTGTTTTTAGTTTGTTTAGCGGCATATAAATTCCTTATGCCAAAATTTAATTTTCTTAATACTTTTACTAATTTTCTTCATACTTTTATAGTGTTTTGTTTTTGTTCGGGGATGGGGGCTCACTATTTGCCTATAGTCAGGGTGGACCTGGGATCAAAAATTAAAAGTCGTTTCTAGAGGCCTCGCTGACTGATGTAGTTTATACCCCAACCCAGGACGAGGGAACATATGCATAAAAATCTAAGACACGGGAATTCTAAACATCAGAAAGGCCGATTTTCAAGGCATACTTTGAAAACTGGTGTAACATAATCTTCCATTAGATCATAAGTGTTTGCTTGATAAAATGCAGGTATTAATGCAAATGAAAAGCAATAAAAAAGCGGCAATTATTAAAAACTCTACAATTTGATAGAATTGCTGCTCCAGCCAGATATCCTCGTATAAAAATGAAAGTCCCAAATCTATCTGTACCTAACACCAAGATGTACCATACTTTTTCGAGTGTGCAGGCTGGTAGACGAAATAAATATTGTTTTAAATAAAAACGGATCATCTACTTAAATATGTGCATCTACTAAAATAACGTTTTAAATAATGAAAAAGCATGTCGGATTAAAAAAAAATCTATCTGAACGATTGAATGTGCTTTAAAAGCTAATAGAACTTAGCTTCAGTGTGAAGCTCTTTGTAGCACATGAAGATCTCAGGTGGACTACTGAGAAAAAGAGTTATGCTTGAAATATAATTGACAAAGAATCGTTTTGACAGTGTTGTATTCTAAAGAGTAAAATACCAATATATTAAATATCATTTAACCCCCCACACCTATACATATCCAATACCCTTGCTTTTCTCCTCCTCCTCCTCCCCCTCCATTTCTTTCACACTTCCAGTTGTGAGATTATTTCTTTATTTTTTAAATAATATAGCGTTCATTAAAATGTTTTAAAAAAATAAAGCGTCAGGAAATCAATTGACCGAAGTCGCTTGGAGATACCGAAAAGTTGAAACCAAAATGGCGGAAGCGTCTGATTTCCTAATTTTGTTATATTTAAAAACTTTACATGTTAAATTTTTATCTTTTTTTTATGTGCATTGAACACTTTTAATTTCTGCTCTTTCCTGGTCTATTTCAACTCTGAACATTAACTTTATATATATATATATATATATATATATATATATATATATAAAACGACATTTACCGGCCTGAATGTCCGAGAAATTTTAATAGAAAATATGCGTCTTCCGACAGGAATCGAACCTGTATCCTATACGCAGCCGTCATATAGCGTGTCGTGCTACACGTGATTTAGCCACAGAAGAGCGTTTCAGCTAGCAAGGTTGATTTTACTGTTCTTAAACTACAAATGACGCCACACATTATGAAATGGTCAAAGTCCGACAATTATTTATAAAAAGAACGTATAAACATAAAAAAAAGTCTTAAAATGTGACATCATTTGTTTACATTTGGATACGCATCGAGCAGATGTGAATGTACGAGAGAAAATCATGGAGAATTGTAGTTTAAAAACAATGAAATCGACCTTGCTAACCGAAACGCTCCTCTGTGACTCAATCGGTAAAAAGCACGTCAGGCTATATAATGGTTCCGTATAGGATACAGGTTCGATTTCTGTCGGAGGACGCATATTTTCTATGAATATATATATATATATATATATATATATATATATATATATATATATATATATATACAGAGAGAGAGAGACAGACAGACAGACAGACAGACAGAGATATGAGAGAAAGATGGTCTGAAGATGAAGATAGCGTTCAAACATAAAACAGACTGTTGTTGTTCGGTAACCTCAGTGTCCACTTTTATATTTACATCCACTCTCTACACTTTTTTTTTCGTAATGAAGCCGTTAGTTTTGCCAGACATGAAATTAGTCTACTCCTAGTAGGTCTAATTTGGAGACTTTTTTTACATTATTAACTTGCATACAGCATTGTGCTGCTAGTGCTTTTGTAATGATCGGTGATAATGTGTACGAGCCTGGTCTGAGGTTTATCATCGAGAATTGTGAGATCAACGACTTTCAATGGATTTTCTTTTAGTGAATCTTTATATATATATATATATATATATATATATATATATATATATATATGAAGAAATATATATGGGATAAAGTGCACAGTATAAGAAATAGAGCGTGTAAATATATAAGGAACATTGAAGTCAACACTTAGAGGCGACAGGCTGTTTCATGTTAGACGCAATCGTCAGGCCACACACACACACACACACACACACACATATATAAATATAAAAGGAAAGATCTCTTGAGAAAGAAGAAGAAGAAGAAGAAGAAGAAGAAGAAGAAGAAGAAGAAGAAGATTGGGTAAGATAGTGAGTTATATCGGGAGGAGGTTAAAAGAAACGGGGGAAGAATGAATGAAGGAAAAAAGAGTAACAGTGAGGAGTTGGGAGGTGACATAAATATCAACATGCATGATAATACTTGCTCCCATATCTAATTAAGACAGAGGGAGTTTGGCAAAGCGGTTTCGTGTGTAAGAGGTTGATAGAGAGAGACTAAGATAGAGAGTGGGGAAAGAATGAGAGATCAAGAAAGATCAGCTTATAGGAAAAAATGTAATAATAAATAAGGGTGAGACAAACAGCGAAACAAAAGGAGAGTGGGTGAGAGTTACAAAATGGAAGGCAGTGCTTGAAATATTCCTAACGCTTAGAATAGAAAAATCTTTGTCGATTCTTCGCTTTCTTTCTTGGTTTTTCTACAGAAATTATTTTCTCATTTGTTTTTATTTATTTTTTGTTTTCAGTCTACCTACCGGCCTGGTTGCTCGGCCGTCTGCTTACTTGCAGGCACCGGGCCTAATTCTTTCCTCCAAATTCAAGTAACCGACAAAACTACTCTTAAGTACGTTTCGTATATTCTCTTACATGAATCGATTTTTTTTAGGGATTCATCATTCAGAATGTGGAATTAATAAATTCTAACACTGTATATCGGTGTATGGATCAGTTAAAACTAATTTAGTATAGAAGATGAAGAAACTTAACACTAGATAGGTTGTGCTAGGAAAAGGTTGTCCCAACACCGTAAATTTTTTCTTCTTTTATGTGCCAAGCCCTTTCAGGACGTAGGCGATCATGGTCCTACACGTCTTCCTCTCTGTAGTATCGTATACAAATTAGAGAGACAAGTATAAATAGAGAACAATTGGCGAACATAGTGAACAGCTATACCTAGCAAACCCGGTTACTATTCAGGATACGGCGAACTGTACTACTACTACTACTACTACGCAGAGAGATATGCAAAAAAACATAACACACTTCTTTGTACCGCTTAATAAGTATTGTGTTTTTGTTATTTCTTCGAAACCCAGTTCTGCCATCCATTTGCTCTAGCCCATCAACTATAATACGCGCTGCTTTCTTATGTCCTACTTTCCCGCAATCTGTCCAGTGTGTATCAGATTTTCCATGCCCTCTTTCCTCATTACGTGCCTCAGAAATTTCAACTGCCTCTTCCTGATGTTACGTGTGTTTCCTTTTTGTTTCCATTCTCTCCAAAACCTCGTTGTTACTCACATGTTCAGCCCATGGTATCCTCAGCATCTTTCTGTAGAACCACATTTCTGTTGCTTCAAATCTGTTCTTCATCTTTGAGGAGATTGTCCTGCATTTTCTGTCATACAGGAGGACGTAAAATGATACAAAGCCCAAATATTAACCTATATTAACTCGTGTCATCATTTATATGCGGACATATATTATCCTCGTTTTTATTGTTGTTATCCCAACGTTTCAGCCCTTGTGCCCTCCGGCCTTCATCAGGTGTATATCGATCCGGATAACCTACAGGGCACAACGGTCGAAACGTCGTGTTAACAACAAAAATGAGGACAATAGTCAGAATATAAAACATGTAAATAATAACTCCCCAATCCCAGAAAGTCAGATAGAAACCCGTGTCATGTTCTTAAATAGGCCCGGAAGATCTGAACCCTGATATTTTTGTCATCCATGGCGTCCAACTCCTTCCAAAATGTCACACCTCTCAGTAATACGCATCCTTTTTCTCAGATCGATGATTAAAAATGGCTTTAAACAGATTAATCCTCTAGTCGCTAGGTAGTGTTGATTACTACGTACACACTGTCTATATCTGTTATAAAGTTTGTATATATGCCGGTGTGGGACTACTTGTGAATTCAAATTCCCACCGAAACACTTGCTATGAATTTGCACGTCTGAATGAATGTGACCCCTGCTACGCTTGGTCAGCTTTTGTTCGTGATGCAGCAAATTCGTTTTAACGGAGCTGGCTCAACCGATAGCGGGTGAATGATGCAACAAGTACAAGAAAGTATATCTATATACAAGTAAGTATAACACTTTGTCTAAGATACTGAGCATTCCTCACCTATAAATAAAGCAAATTATATCTATATGTATCTCTCTCTCTCTCTCTCTCTCTATATATATATATATATATATATATATATATATATATATATAATACATTGCTAGGTCAGCTGCTAAGAAAGCTGGTTCACTGTGTCGTGCTAAACAATTTTTTTCTTAAGAATCTAACATGTATGTCTATAAGTTTACCATTCAGCCATGCTTAGAATATTGCTGGCACATATGGTCCGGTGCCCCTATTTATCTTGAGCTTCTTGATAAAATGAAAGGAGAATCAGCAATATTATTGATCCTGGTCTGGCATCTCGGCTTCAGTAACTTTCCCACCGTCGTAAGGATGCTTCCCTCTGTCTTTTCTATAAATACTTTCATAGTAATTCTTCGAATGACCTCTTCGCTATTCTATCTAGACTATTTTTAAAAAATCTAAGCGCAGTACTACACTGATGTCGAGATCTCTCATCGAAGCTGGTTAGATGAAGCCGTAAGTTCTATGACAACAGTTTCTTTTTCCGCACTTCTCGTTTGTGGAACTCCCTTTCGGCTCCAACCAACTTTAATCGACGAAAATCTAAAGGCAATGTCAATCGCTATCTACTGTCTTCCTAATTACTCTTTTCGCTTCCCGATAATGAGTAATGCCCCATTTTCTAATTCTTCCACATTTAGTAGCCCCCTTTTGGGAGTGATGTCGATTATATATATATATATATATATATATATATATATATATATATATATATATATTATATATGCATTAAATAAAAATACCCGTGTTATACAAGCATTACCCAATGTTATATAACAGAGCTATAAATATATATATATTAATAGATATACATATCCTACACTATTTGCGCTACTCGAAGTTTCATGCCAAACGGTGGGGATATGATATATATATATATATATATATATATATATATATATATATATATATATGTGTGTGTGTGTATATGTGTGTGTGTGGTAAATTGAAATGACAAAATAAGAACATTTATTGCAACGCGTTTCATTTCTTCTGGAACTTCATCAACAGATAAATGCAGAGATTTATTTAGAAAAACCTGTATTTGTACACACAAAAAGTATCATTGAAAAAAAAATATTTAAAGACAAATAGAATCTTGATTGTGAAGCTCTTCGAAAGACGTTATTTTTTCTGCAGATAAGAAACGAAAGATACGGACTGGGATTTTGGTGCTATAAGATCTTCCACTTGACTACTGAATCCAAGCACAGGCTTATAGCATAGGTTGCGCTTAGAAAGGACTTCTGGTTTCTACCTGGGACAGAATATTTACATTAGCATTGCTGAGAAATACACCACAAGGCAGATAATTATTTATTACTCCAATTTAACAAAGCACAATTTAAAATGGGCGAAAATAAAATTAGGAAGATTATGCTGCGCCAATTTTTTATGAAGAAGAAGGGATTGAAAATCTAAAACCAAATTCAATATTTTACCAAGGATCAAAACCCAATCTCTGGGATTGTCGGCATATCGACATCTAATTTTATCTCATCGAAACATATTTCTTTCATCCACCCACACTTTTAGTTGGATCCAAGAAGATTCTGACTGCATTTATTTACAGAGGATAAATTCGCCCTACCAAAATAGAAGACACCTGTTTATTATATGTACGTCTACTTTTTTCGACTAATGCAGAAACTGAACTTATATTTAACTTAATGATTCCCGTGCAAATGAAGATTATGCCTATATTTTTGATTCTCGCCCAAATCAAATTTGTATACCGTTTTGACTCTCGCAAAATGAAGAAGAAACTTGATACAACAGAATATGGTTCTACAGAATAATGGTTAGAGAAACCATAGACAGAACATGCGAGGTATGTCCGGTCATTGTTTGAATATCATTGCGCGGCCTTAGAACTAGGTAACAAATCAGAAGGGGACTTGGTTGTGCATGTCAGTAGTTAAATTCGTGTGTAATGATGATGATCATCACACACATACATACATACTTACGCAAATTCAAATTATAAAACAACAAGCATTCATTGGATAATAAATCAACACTGCTGTGTAATGGACAATTTATAAATCGCAGCTATACGACAATTTTATAATCGTTATATTTTCATGTAGTCGATTTTGTGCATTTTTAGGAGAATCGGATCCCAAGAACCTTCTCAGCTTAGTAAATATTTTCAGGAAATATCAGCTTCTAATTGGTCAATAAACACACGATTAGGCGTTGCAAAAATATATTGTACGTGGGTCGTACAATATATTTTTCCAGCGCGTGACTAAGTCAAGTTTCCCGCCAACGCGCTGTGAGCCTGTCACGTGATTACATTATCTATAAATAGCAAACACGAGTTTGCCTTTTTCTCTTTTTTCTCTCTTCTTGCTGGAAAATCTAGTTCCAGAGAATTATCGTCTCGACCTTGCGGTCAGACGTTAAATAATATTTCACGCATTCACGTATATATACGAACTCTTACGAACTTTTCCAACCTACATTGCAAACATACAGAACATTTCCAAACATGCAACAAAAACTTTATTCTTCTAAAACTACAGTTTAATAATTAATCCAACTTGTTGAGTTCCGGTAAAAATATTCCATCAATTCTTTGCCTTCTACGCATGTACATCAACACAGAAATAAATACAATGTTATGTTTGTTTTAAAACCTTTTATTCCTTCTTCTTGTATTTCATGCTTTGTGGTATTTTATGTTTAATATAAATTGTGTGGTCATGTTATTCACGCAGCCATAAACAAACATCCACAATGGTCATTCCTCTTAACATGCCTCTACACGTGTACTGTGTGCCAGTTTCACAGTAACAATGCGTGGAGATTCGTCACCTCTGGTGTGTTTTTTTTTTTTTTTGCAAAGCATCATACTTGGAACTGTCACTCCTTGTACAATCAATACAATATTTGCCTGTTTAATGGTTTACCCAGGGCTAAAAACGCTGTCGAAAGGGAAACGTTTTCAGACCACGTCCAAGATTAGGGCAATCGCATTGTGACAACTGTCAGTAATCACAGGAGAGAACTTTACAGAA